CACCCTCAGGTAAACTGGTTTGCCAGCAAAAGAGCAGATATGGAGAGGAAAAAATAAAAGAAGGCTTTAACATTAAAAACAGAAAACAATGAAGTGCATTATATTGGATGAGCAGAGAGTAACATCATCTGATTTGCAGTTATATTTCCCCACTTACTGAGTCTTCCATTTTGTGATTGATTTTTTTCAGCCTCCAAGGAAGTTTGGACTGGTTTGGATAAAACAGTGTCAAGGCAAGACTTCATGTATCTGTCTATGCATGAAGGCCAATGCTTTTTGACTGAGCTCTCCATGTTAAATGGCCAACCTTTCCATGTTAACTACTTTTTTTTTCCTAGTTAAATCTCATGGGCTGGTTTGCAGTGTGGAAGGCTGCCTTCTAATGTGTAGGAAACATTCACACTTCTACAATGTGCTGATAATTTAAAGTAATAAGCATCAAGGCATAAACTTTATGCTTGGGTATGCTAATTTTGAGTGATGTCGCTCATTCAGTTGACAAGTTATACATGTTACAAATGATGAGGTGAGGAGAACATAAACTTAGAATGCCACCCTATAGTTGGAAAATAGAAGCAGTAAAAATGCAGATTAGCGCATATGAATTTATTTTCTCTTAGTCTGTGAAGAAATAGGAACTTTACTCACCTCTTTGGCTGGAAGGAAGGTGTGTTGAAAAACCATAAAAGGAAGTGTAGTATTCATCAGCTCAAAATAGTTGGTCACTGTGGCTTTTGCAGTGGTCTTAAAGAGATTATTTTCATTAGATTCCTGAAAAGGTCTGTAAATTAATCCATTTAAAAGTACGGGTATTTTAATTACTGCAGCATAATTATTTAATACCACTCTGGGTTGGTTTGGTAGGGAACGTTACTTTAGAAGCCCTTAAAATGTTGCAAAAACATTTTAAACCATCCTCCTTAAATCAATCAGTGTTGTTAAGGCTCTTGTATGTTTTAAGTGAATTAAGTTTATTTTATGTGTGACTTAAAATTCTCCTTCTGTCTCAGGCTTGTGGTCCAACCAGTCTAGTATTTTTTCTCCACTATTGTGTCACACAAGGATGTCAAACGATTTCAAGTAATCGGTTCTAATACAATTTGCAAACAGGCTGAGATTTCTTCCCAGGCCACATGAGTTAGTGGTGTGTTGATATCTGAGGCTAAAGAGGTTGTATCTTATACGTAAAGTTTCCGGTGACATTCTGAGCCACGTAAAACCACCAGCAAAATCCCCATTGATTTTTGTTACTCTGGGATTAAGTGGATGTATTTAAAAAAACCAACCAACCAAAAAAAAACTCACAACTTTATCCTAGTCCACCTGGACATTCCAGTTATCTTTGTTAAATTTCATCTTTTGAGCAGGGAGAGAATGAAGTTCTTGTTTTCTGTTACATCCAGTGGCAAAAAGTTCCACGTGTTAATTCTGATTTCATTAGGAAAAATATTTTTTAAACAGCTTTCTTCTAGGTTTCATGGGTTTCCCTGTTGATTTGGAGAAATTAAAGGGTGAAAACATCCTTTTCCTTTTTTCTGTGTCCTCTCCGTTATCTTGTAGAGCTTATGTCTTTCTTGTTTATTCTATAGAGTTTGCAGTTTCAGTTTCTTCATTCTATGTCTGGATGTTTTCATTCTTTTCACTTCTTTCAGAATATCTTCTCTTTCCTCTGCATTGAATGTGCCATGATGAAAACAGACATTGTATGCAATGTGAGGGTATCTTTCTGACATAGCACAGGTTTCTTTTCCATGCCATTAGTCATGCTCAGTGTTGGACTCTCTGGGCTGTCCATGACAAAAGGTATATATAGCAAGAATGTTGGGGCTAAAGTCTTGCTCAAATATGCACACTGAAAGAGAAGACACCGGGAATCTTGGGTCTGGTCTTTGTCTCCTGTACAGTCTCCTGTACACAGAGTCATAAAACTGAGCTTGACCCCTTCTGTTGTCATTTTATATTAATCTAGAACTGCTATGAAAAGCAAGCATAAAATAATGTGAAAGTGATGTCTATAGATTTTTAATTATTTTTCTTTACCAAAATTTCTTATCCTCTAATTAGCCCAAAGGATTGTGATCATTTGATAGAAAGCACAGCTTTGATGTCATAAAAGCAAAACAGTAAAAAATATTATATAGGTATTTCGTAATATCATCTAATATCTTTCTAACCCAAAATGTGAAGTAATCCAAAGATGTTTCTTTTTGATGAATAACGGAAGTTCAAAAGCTTTTTCTTAATTTATAAGATACATTACACAGAAATCTTCCTGGTGCTGCTTCAGTTATCTTTTATCTTGATTATGGGTGACGTTTTTAGGGTACAAGGCACTGTAGTTAGCAGGATAATTTTAAATTCTCTATGAGGTGCTGCAGTTTGGCTCTGAATTAGGAGACAGTTTGCAGTCAGAGCACTATATTATTTTTCCATTGCAGCTACCGAATACCTCATGCAGCCTGATTAGTGCAATGAAGCTTTGAAAGACACAACAGTGAAGACAGTAAACAGCAATGCTTTACAAAGCAAAAGGCAGGAACAGGTTGTCAATCCACCTTCTTTTATTTCTCCTGTAAATTCATTTAAAATTTAATACAGTACAAAGTATTGCAAAACTGTCATTTGCTGGGAGAATCTGGGCAAGGGAAGGGTTGCATCGCTTGCATAACTCCACTTAATTGTGTGCCTGTTGCAGAAGAGCCCCCACTCAAGCACGCCCAGCATGTTCAGCTCTTGAACGCAGAGATTTGGATTTGTTTGGGCCCAAAGTTTCTTATTCTGCTTAGTCTTCCTGATTTTTATGTACGTTTAAGCTTCAGCAACCCTCCTGTATGCAGACTGGCTAACACAGAAAATTCTTTACTTGACACACCCTCATCTAGCTTCTCTGATTACTAAAAATCAAGGTAGGAAAGAGAATGTAGTATGTTTCACAACGTATTTTTTACCTTCAATGTGTCTTTTCTTAGTCTAAAAGGAATAAAACCAAGCTACGGTTTCAGTCATACTTTTTACCTTTAGGCATACTCACTATAACTGCTGCCAAAATTAAATCAGGATCTATACTTTCTTCTGGAATTTTTCCAGCTCATCTTTAGGTGAAACACAGACCGTAATAGGATGTGAAACAGAAGCTGAAAGCAAATATTTTTCCCAATTCTGTCTTTTCAGGAGCGTAACATGAGAAATTGCATTTCAGTATCATGGTAAAGATACCTAACATTTATTCCATTATCTTCAAGTATATAAAACCCCATCTGTAAATGTCTACTAAATTATATTAAAAGTTTGTCTTTCAGTCTAAATGGCTTTCTGATATCCTGTTCAGTACATCTTTGCAGTCTGAATGGAGTTTAAAAATCTCTTAAAAACAAGACCTCTACTCTAAGCAGGGCGTGGTTCACTTTGAAGTGAGGAAGGGGTAGGATCTGCGTCATCCCAGTTCAAGAAGGACAAGGAGCTACTGGAGAGAGTCCAGCAGAGAGCTACTAAGATGATTAGGGGACTGGAGCACCTCTGCTGTGAGGAAAGGCTGAGAGACCTGGGGCTCTTTGGCCTGGAGAAGAGAAGACTGAGAGGTGACCTTATCAACACTTATAAATATCTAAAGGGTGGGTGTCAAGAGGATGGGGCCAGGGTCTTTTCAGTGGTGCCCGGTGACGGGACAAGGGGCAATGGGCACAAACTGGAGCACAGGAGGTTCCGCCTCAACATGAGAAAAAACTTCTTTACGTTAAGGGTGACAGAGCACTGGAACAGGCTGCCCAGAGAGGTTATGGAGTCTCCTTCCCTGGACATACTCAAAACCCTCCTGGATGCAGTCCTGTGTAACCTGCTTTAGGTGAACCTGCTTTAGCAAGGGGGTTGGACTAGATAGATGATCTCCAGAGGTCCCTTCCAACCCCTACCATTCTGTGATGACAGCAAAACCCAAACCAAAGCATTTAACCAGACGATAAAGTCTGTGCCATGGAACAATATTTTTTTAAATGGCTGGCTAAAGTTTTGCTCACTGATCAGCACTTAAGCAACCAGCCTGATTCCCAAAAGCGTTCTCATAGCAGTAGATCTAATGACACACACCAGCTCTGTGAGCAGGCGTTTGCAGAGGCAGGCTTAGGTACCCGATGGCGATCCTTGGTGTGGGCCTGCCCTTGCCTTCCCGAGGAGCTGCGAGGTCCCATGACATTTTGGTCATGTAATTGTTCATCAACCTGAATCTGCTAGATTTTTGTAACAGGAAGGGAGGGGTTTCCAGAGATGGGCGGGAGGTTATGGCAACTCCATCCATGCTGGCAGGGACTTGAGACCCCATGGGAGCCTTTGTCCCATCTACCCTGGTTCCTGTAGGAAGATGACCTGGGGACCAGGGCAGGACGGGAGGTCTAGCACAACCCTTTGAGTCCTTGGTGCATGTGCATCTCCTCCAGTGCTGAAACACCAACCTCCTCGTGCTTTGTTGGCCAACGTGCTGCAGTCAGATAAGCTGCACCCTATTCAATAGCACATGTTGTCTTGTTGGATCTGCATTAGACTGAATTTGGCTTTATTGAATAGGTTGCCAGCTGTGTTTTAAGGAAGCATGAGCAGCTGGAAACAAGTAAGAAGCCATTTCCAGTAGCCAATTCAGTCACCACATAGCATCAACATCAGCTCTGCAAACTGCTACTGTGTCCTGGACCACTTTTTCAAAATCCTGAGTGATGGCATTCTTCATTTCATGCCCTTTAACTGCACTGTTCAATTTCTGGAATGAAGACAGGAGCAAGAAAAATAAAGCTTGTGTCAAAGGACCAAGGCTTCAGATTGTTGTAAATTAGCATCTTTCTATTAGTTGATGGCATTGGAAGCAAGCTGTGGAAATCCTTTTTTGACAAAAGATGCTATAAAAATGTGATATGTGATTTTGTACTGCCAATTCTTGTAAAAGCAAAATGCAACATTTTATAATGGAGCCACTGCTTAATGCTGTTCTCTTTTTCTTTTCCCCTTCAAATCAGATATTTATCTTTGAGAATAACATCTATTACTGTGCCCATGTGGGGAAACAAGCCATCCGAGTGGTCTCCACAGGAAAGGAAGGTGTTATTTTCAATGGGCTCAGCGACTGGCTGTATGAAGGTAGGACGCAACATTTAGGGCAGCAGTTAGTTATGAGTTTAAGTTACACTCTAGATTTACAGAACTGGCTGAAATTAGATGTTCAGTATTGCATTTCTGGGGACTGGTGGACCACGGAGCTGAAAATCTGCTATTCTAACAGTTGTCTGAAGTGCTGGACTGGAAATAATGTGAAATGATGTAAGAATTCTGTTTTCAGGCTGGTTTTCTTTCCCTTAGTCCAAAGGTAATAAATCACTGAGCTTTAATGAACAGAACTGCTTCATTATTTAATGGCACCTGCAATCACTCTTAGACGTGCCAGTTTTCAAATCACAGACAAGGACAGAAATGGAGAGGGAAAAGAGTTTTATTTTAAAGGAAGACGTGTGGAAACAATTTTACTTGATTTGTTGTTTTCCCCATCACTAGGTAGGCCCTGGAACCTGCCCAGGTCTTGCTACCTAAAAATTTTCTAAAATCAGACAGGTCCTCACAGTAATTGGCTTCTTTCCCTTGAAGATGGGCCTGATGGGGTGGAGAGTCATTGCTGGAGCAGTGCTTTACCTTGGTCCTTTCAGCTGGCAAATGGCCATTTAGGTGTCTGTGAGCAGCTGCTTGCAAAATAATCTCACCTGCTCACTAGGTTAGGAGAGGATTCCAGCCATACCCAGTTCTTTCAGGATATGTTATAGGCTTTTAAGCTCATACTCTATCAGAATTAAAATTATAATATATTCAGAGCATATATATATATATATATATCACATGCACACAACATGCATCTCTCTCTGTGTTGCTGGCTAATGCTGCCAGCAGTTCCTTTTCACAAGGCTCCTGGTTTTGGGACCTGGCAGTGTCTCTTTCCTGTGACACAGTTTCCCTCTAAAGTCACACTTTCTCCTGCAGGTCCCAGCACAGTCCCAAGCTTTTCTTACTTTTACAGAAAGTGTCCAGATACATCTATCAACTGTGGCCTGTTAGCTGCTCCCAGTCTCCTTGAGTCTTAATGGAACACAATAGGTTGCAAAATGCTATTCACCATTAATTGATGTAGAAATGCGAATCGCTCCTTAAGTTACTCTGTATCACAGCTAAGCTGGGGCTGGTGGACTCAGAAATGAGGGAATTAAAATAAATTATTTTGTTTGCCCCTCCCAGAGAAGCTGGTCCCATAAATCAATGTACAAACTCATCAAATACATCAGTGGAAAAATCTGATAGCAGTTTATATTACTTTTTATATTCAAATGTGTGTTTATGCTGTACCACATAATATTTGCAAGTGAATGTCCTCCTTGTGAAGCACTTTGTAACCAGAGGAGTGGCTCAGAAGTTACGAAATGCTAATTTTCTTTAATTTTTATTTATTCATTAATTTGTTGCTGAAGTTGGGGGCAGGCCTGTTTGACTCTGTAGGTCAAATGTGCATATTAGTACCCATATTTTGCTGATAAACATCATTTAGTACATAAGGTCTTCTCACAGAGTCTCGAATGCAGCACCGTGCTGAGAGGAGTTTGTCAAGCCGGTGAACTCCAAGCACACCGGCAAGCCCGTGATGACACTTGTTTTGCTGACGCATATTTTTATTCAATTATGGGATTGCTCAGGCAGTTTCTTGGCTGACACTGACTTTCAGGTTTGTCCTTTATAATGAACTTTCTTGTTAACTTTATGTTAATGTACGGAGGTATGAAGTGAATATATGATCAAATATGGTCTGGTTATACCAGGCCAGGTTCTGTAACCTCTCTGAGCAGCATGGCATGTACAGAGCAGGACCACTGATCCTGCTATTCACTGGGAGTATGTTTTGCAGAAATTAGGATATAGCATCCCTTTGGGTATGTTACTTTGTGTCCGAGTAGTTTATATTGAAATAAAAACTTCTCTTACTCCCCAAGCAAGGTGTAGAAGGACCCACAAGAAAACCTGAGATATAAACATTCCCAAGTGATGGGGTGCAGAATCTAAAATCAAATCCAGAGCTGGACTGTGTGAGCTGACCTCTTACACTACGTCACGTGTGCAGTCCTCATGGAGGTAAACCTGGGACTGGAGTCAGGACTGAGGATTCGTGGCAGGTGCTTGAACAAGCTGTGGGGCCATGGGATTGGATGGATCTGCAGTGTTCAGATGTCAGCTCTCTTCATGCTTGGGTGGGTGAAGTGGGATCCCAGAAGAAATTGGGTATTGCGTGGTGGTAAGTGGTTAAGGACCACTGGGAGATGGGTGACACCTTCCCAGCGGCATCCATGGGAATTCAGGCATTGTTGTCAGTGAGGCTGAAGTTTTACCCTAGCAGCAGCTGGGATGCCCTGCCAACACACTGTTACCAATGTCTTTATTTTTCCAAATTCTCTCCTTTTCTTGGGTGCCTCATCTTCGGTGGGATAAACAGAAGCAATTTCAATCCGAACTCACCTGATTGGAATTGTTTGATACCTGCGCAAGGATCAAAATTTACCACTTCAAGGCTGTTTTTCCTCTTCTCCCATTCCCACTGATGTTTATAGATGTGTCTACCCCACCTCCCTAACGGAGCTGGGTGGGATGCTCAGACCCATGTTTGTTTGCACTGCCGCCGTCTCAGCAAGCGACCAAGATGGAACGTTGAGCATATGTAGAAATCTCGTTCCATCTGTGCAGCCATCTCCAGCAGATAGTCTGCAAAGGAGCTGTGAGAAACACCGAAACAGGATCACAGAGAGTTCAGCGCGCTCCTCTTCCATCGTGTGCTCTTTTTGTTGCTGGAGTTCACCGTCTCCAGCAGCGGCAGCGGAGCCTCCCTGCAGCGCCCACCGGGTTACTGTGACAGCTCACGACCTGCTTCTCACTTCCCCTAAATGCAGCGGAAAAAAAAAAAATTCTTGCTGTTTTCTATATGAGGAAGGCAGTTTTTAAGTTTTTTTTTGTCATAATTGGCAAGAGCACATCAACAAAAATCCCCGCCATCATTTCTGGGAGCTGTTTGCACAGCACACTATGCAGATGGCAGTCCCAGAAGTCCCACCGTTTGGGGTAACTCCTGACGCTTGATATGAATGGTAGACCCAGAGGGAACACTTTTCTTCATAACGTGATTGCTTTTGTCACGACAGAACAGATGCACTGTACTATTAATCACAGTTTTTTACTAAGTCCGGAAGCAGAGCAGATCTAGAATAGATTTGACAGGCTTTTTGCCCTGGAAAAATGCAGAAGTTCATTTCAATTCCAGTTAAGCTCTGCCTTTGTAAATCTGCCAAAGGGGAAAAAATTTCTTCGAGGTATTTATGCTGATCTGTAGACTTTTGATAATATAGTGAAAAACATTTCAAATCAATCAGAGCTTAATCTACTTAGTGCATTTAGCTGGAGGGTTATAGATTGATACATAGATTACTGTAACATGAAAGCATAGATTAAACATGGCTTTTATTACTAAAATAAGCATTGACAATGTTTTCATAGTCTGACTTAACATTTTCGGAGCTGTGCCTGATAGATGCTTATACTAAAATGGAGTGATATCCTACAGAAGAGAGTTTAAAGTTCTGCAGCTGAAACCAGCTCAGCATTTAAATGCATAGCACCAGCAAGGAGTGTTTTATTTTTCAGTTTGCTGTATGATCATTGTTGGTTTGAGAGAATGTTTTAGCAACAATAAGGCTTAAAGATAATTTTAAAACAAGTGGTGATATAGTACAAAGTACTTCCAAAGTGATAGGATAAAATCATTTATATGTTCTTTATATGCATAGTACTTTAATAAAAGTCATCTACATTTTGAAAAGCAAGGTGCAGGTAAAATTCATTTAATTTAAACCCTTCGTTAGAGCACTCTTTAACAGAAATGAATTCTGTCATGGTGTAATTAAAGTGTCTTCATTTGCTGCCAGGCACTTGGGGAGATCATTCAGATGCTGTGAGAAAGGGTGACAGTGAGGGGGCTCTGCCAGAGGTGACCTGTGTGATCCCGCTAAGTGACAGAAAGAAGGTTGTGATGTCACTGTGTTGCAGTTTGGGAGCTCATTGAGTTTATTTCTGTTTGGGAGTATGTGATGCTGAATCCTGGGGAATGGGGCAGGAGGACCTCCCTTCATGCTGGCACGCTGCTGCCAGACTGGTGACACCCCAGCAGGGTAATTCAGGGTCCCTTTACATGGCTCTGCTGATCAAGACAGGGACATTTTCTGGGCTGCACTACTTAAAATCCTGGTGTGACCTCCTTTGAGCAAGTTTGTGTTCACAGATAGAGGTACATGGCTCCTGGAGAGCTACTTAGCATCTCAGCTTCTTGGAAATCATGGGGGAGCAGGATGCAACACGATGGCGTGTCCTCCTGTCACCAGTGGGAGGGGAAGGAAGGATTTTCATCTGTAGATTTTCATCTATCCTATCTACAGAGCGTGAAACTGAGGGTGTTCCTTGTGGTTTTTTGCATGTGTCCTCAGATGTACGAGCAGTCCCTTAGAAGCTATTTTGCGACTTGGTCTGCAGGACACGTTTTTGATTTTTCAGGACTTTGGTTGCAAAAGGAAGAATTGCATGTGAGTTACTCATCTTATGTTACTGTCAGAGCTTTCCGAAGGGTTTGTCCTGTTAGTCTCTAAAGATCATCTCAAAGTGAACATCCCCATTCCAGACTTAATCCTGGCACCGTGGCTGTGATGTCTTATATGGCCATCTCCTCATCCTCACGTCAGTGAGAACCACTTCTGTCAGCCAGGCACCAGCCCCAGCTTGCACGGCGTGTGTTTAAAACTCTTACGCAATGTGAGGTATACTTATCCATCACTTCAAATTGATACTCTGCTCTGTTGAGATTAAGGCACAGCAGTGTTGCTCTGCTGTATTTTTGGCTAGAGAGCAAGAGGAGGAGTGAAAAGAGACTTTTTCAGCGATGACTCGTATGCCTTATTAATCTTCATTCTGCCTGCATTTATGCTATCACCAACAGATCCTCTTATGTGACTTCGCAGTGACACCTGCTGGGAGAGGCCAGGATGTCATCATCATTAAGACAATGAAACTGC